AAATAATGTTGTGAAAAACAATCAGGCTGATGATGCCTCCAAAACACTGCAGGAGTCAAATACTGAAGACACTCCTAAGACTCTGACACAAATGTACACACACTTTCTCAGATTTCAGATCCAGCAGAGCAGACGAAAGTATGATGGAGAATACACACCAGATGTTTCCTGGGATAAAGATGCCATCTTTTCACTGGGGAAACTGGCATTTGATCAGCTGGAGAGAAACAATGTGATCTTCTATGACACCGATCTGGAAGCCTGTGGTATTGATGTCTATAAGGCATCAGTGTACTCAGGCATGTGTACCCAGATCTTTAAGGAGGAAACAATCTGTCTCCAGAGAGATCCATCAATCTGTTCTACTGTCTGAATGAACTGAACGACCAAACTCTGGTGAAAGACATTCAGACCCACCTTAGCAAAGGAAGCCTCTCATCTGCTGATCTTTCACCTGCCCAGTGGTCTGCTTTGGTCTTTGTGTTGTTGACATCAGAGGAGGAGCTGGAGGAGTTTGAGCTTCAGAAATTCAAGAAATCAGACGAGTGTCTCATTAGATTATCAGCAGTCATCAAAACCTCCAAAAGAGCTCTGTAAGTTATTTCATTAATTTTTTCATGTTTTGTTCTCATCTTAAAATTGCATTTATCTACATGGATATATAGCAGGTTTAGACACCCCTGATATATAGTGATTATTAACCATATACCAGTTATAATTAAATCATAACACATTTTGTTGAACTTTAAAAAAAATAAAATAATTTTGCGTTAAAAATGCCAGTCCTTTGGAATTACTGTTCAATGGTATTTTATTAGATTTACATGGGTTTTATGTAGAAATTTCTCTTTTCAGCAAAACAAGCTGTTTAGTTAGCTGCAGAAGAAGCACATCATGTTATTAGAAAACACATTGTTCCATAGTTATTTCTACTCTAATATGCAGTTCAACTTCTTAAACTTCTGCTATAAAGGAGATATACTCTTGCATAACCTCAATGCATAAATGATGAACCTATTTACATATTTTATTAAGTTTTATTCAAGCATGCTAGTTTGTTTTATCTAGGAAACTTGAATCAATAAATATCTAATATACTGTATATGCAGTATATTTACTGTTCATGTAAAAATAATTGGTATAATTATTATTTTATTTTTTTTTGTATTTAACAAATGTATTACATGTATCTAACTCTGTGATTTGATATATTTCTCTTGTAGGCTAAATGATTGTGACTTAACAGACAAAAGCTGTCCAGCTCTGGCTACAGTTCTTGGATCAGATACCAATCTGAAGGAGCTGAACATGAATAGTAATAATCTGCAGGATTCAGGAGTGAAGCTGCTCTGCACTGGACTGGAGAATATAAATTGCAAATTAGAGATACTGAGGTAAGTTTTGTGACAATCCCTAGTGTTTGGTTAGAATTCAGATCCATCTGTTAACATGGAACTAGATAATTTGCCACAGATTTGAGGACAGAACTGCTTCAGCTCAGCGAAATTTGTAGGGTTTAATTCAAGCATGAACTCTACATTTAAAGTCATTTCAATGTGGTTTAAGAGTGGACTTATGTTAGATCATTTCAAAACGTAAATTTTCTTGTTTCTCAACCATTTTGAGGTTGTTTGTATGTTGTGGATTTTTTAGATGAAAGACTTACACACCTGTTGAGTTTTAGATAATTGAAACCTTAAAGGGGTCATGTACTGCATTTGTAATTATTTTATAATGTTCTATGTGATGCACCTATAATGTTAGCAAGAATTGTACATCAAAAACATCATAATTTAGATATAATATGCTATATTGTATCCGGGTTTTGACCCTCTCTGCAGAACAGTCTGTTTTTATAGACGAGGTACATTCGAGATGCTGAAGTGAACGCCCACT